AGTCAGAACGGAGCACAGTTGGATTTTAAAAAGTGGGTAGAAAACAATGAAAAATGCAACATTTCTTTTGTCCTCTCTCTGATACTCAGGCAGACATCTGCTCCGGGGGTTTTAGATGTGGAGTTTGGAGTTTTTCTTCTGCGACAGTAAAAGCTAATGAAATTAAATTTATTTCCCACAGCAGTGAAATCAGACTAAAACTGTGAAGAAGAAAAAAACGTCATAATTTTGCTTTTCTGTAGCTAATAAAGTGACCGGGGAAGTTTTACTTCATTCCTCTTCTGCAACGTGAACGGCTCGAGTGGTGATTTAAAACCAACCAGGACAAATAGATGAACTTGTATGGCAGGCCATTTTTACATAAAATCAGCTTCCTCTGATCATCTGTAATTACATTATAGATATCTAAAAATTAGTTTTGACCAGAAACTACATTTTCACTATCGTGATTGATAATTTAATATATCTGCATTTACATTCTGACTATAGAACAGTTCAAGATATTTTTAATAAAATTGCGATGGATCAAAACCTTCAAAATATCTCAAATGACGTCACCGGATTCATCATTTGAAAAGTCACACATCCGTGATTACAGTTCAAGATATCTTAAACGTTTATTATGATGATAATTATAACGAGTCAGAATTACATTTTCAGATATAAGAAATTATTGTGCACAAGCCCCCTGCTGCCACTTAGCTGTCCAAACAGATGCCTGCAGAATTTTGTGTGGCTGCAATAACTGACAATAAATAATCCACGTTTCTTAAATGATGTTGAGCTGCAGCTAAAAACTGTTAAAAACACAAGAATTTGAGTTGGACTGACCTGAGACTGCAGACCACTGAGGAGTAAATGAAGCTAAGGCTGGTGGCTAAAAATGCCTTTAAAATTTTACGCTAAAATGCGTTCATCTGACGTTTTGATTAGTCAGAAAAATTATCCAAGAAATCTGAAAAAGAAAGACTGGATGAAAAATATTCAAGATATCTTGAATTCATTTGGCAACATCTTAAAAGGAATTTTGCCTTGTCATAATTATAGTTCTAGATATCTCAAAGTCAGATTTTGCTGAGTCGTTATTTTCTTTTAAGATATTTTCAATTTAATTTGCACTATTCAAATTTTATATTTGATATATAAAAATGCATTTAAGTTATCTTAAATTGGAATCATGACTAGTTGGACTAAAAAGCAAGATATCCTGAAAGCAAATAATGACTCGGCAAAACTAACTTAGAGCTATCTAGAACTGAAATTATGACGAGTTCATTTTAAGAATAAAATTGGAGCCTCCATTCAAGTTAATGCTAACTCTGACATCAGTTATACTAGAGATATTTTAATTAACTAATGTGACCAGTCATAAACCAATTCCAGATATCTGAAATTTAAGTGTGTGRTGAAGCAGATTTTATGTCAAAATAGCCTGCCGTAGGCTCATTTGTGTGGTCTAATGAGTCTTCTGAACAGGTGCTGTAAGGTTTAGGTCAGAGATGATTTTGTTGAGGCGTTTGCCCAGATAATAAAAAGAGTTTTTCTGATAAAAAGCTTCAAATGAAACGACTCTGAACTGCACCTCTGCWTCAGAGCAGCTGCTCGCCTCTCGTAGCTCCGTCCTCTTTAGCATCTCTGATTGCACATTTAAAGGACGGTTTGCTGTTGCTGCAGAAACATTTACACAGATTTACTTCGGCCCTCTCAGCAAATCACTTCTCTGTGCCGAGTGCATTTAAATGAGTTAATTTGGTTTGGTGTTTTAAATGCTGATGCGACCGGCCCTCGGGCAGGATGTTGGTTTATCTGAACACAAACAGCTCTGCGTTGATCTCTGACGTATTAGAAAGCAAACGTACGTTTAAAACCCCCCAAACAAAGATAATTACGTGCACAGTTTGCAACAACTGGAGGAGAGGGTTTGGCTTCTGTTATGATTATTGAAATCAAACTGCAGGTGCTGATTGGCCACTTTTTCTGMCACGAGAGGACAAACCGATCAAACTTCACCAGTTAAAYTCTTAAAGGGATCCATGATTAGTTGTAACATTAGRTTTTATTTGATAAACATTTATTTTAACTGTAAAATAAACACTGTAAAAATACTCTAGGCTGTTTAATTTTTATCATTTTTAAACTAAAAGTTTAAAAATACATTACACGGACGGGGCCATTTTATTTACATGCAAAGCATTCTGGGTAAATGATGACGTGGATAGGTCCTCGGTGTGAGGCTGCTAGCGAGCTATATCCAAAGCTATCATCATATATATTGTATTAGCTCAGCGCTACACATTCTCCTCTCGTCACTGAGGTCCTCCATCCACATGACAGAGAGGGGAACGAAGAAATGACTCAGCCTGCAACTGAAAATATGGATGGAGGACCTCAGTTTAGCTCGTTTGTCGTGCTAGCGCTAAGCTAATACATATAGCATCGGCGCTAGCGCAAAGGCTAACAGGCTAAGCTGAGGTTCTTCTTCCATGAAGCAGCTCTGTTGTCCTCCATCCATATTTTCAGTTCCAGGCTGAGTCATTTCTACCTTCTCCTCTCTGTCAACGCTCTCTGGTTTCATTTWAAAGAGTCGATCATCAGATATTGTCCAAGATTAACCTTCAGGGTGGATATAGCTCGCTAGCAGCCTCGCACCAAGGACCTATCCACGTCATCATTTACCCAGAATGCTTTGTGTGTAAATAAAATGGCTCAATCTGTGTTAAAATATTATTTTAAAAATTTACAAAACTAAACAGACTACAGTATTTTTACAGTCTTTATTTTACAGTTAAAATAATTGTTTATCGAATAAAGTCTAATGTTACAACTAATCATGGATCCCTTTAAGTTTGATTCTTTTTGTTGCATTGAATCATTAATTTATAGGTTACTGTTGATACAGAAATAATTTTCATATTAAGTAAAAATAAATTTTTTGGCGGGCTGGATGGAAGTCACCCACAGGCCACATTCAGCCCGCAGGCCTGTAGTTTGACACATGGTTTACTGCGTAGGCGGGGCCTGTTGTCATCACGTCATGTATGTTGTCCCATACGTCGCGTCGCATCGAGTGAATCGACTGAAAGGGAACAACCTCTTCATGTTCTGCAGATCAGGTGCTGCAGCAGAGAAACCTTTAAAACCTGCAGCCTGAGACGACCAGGATTGAACAGAATTATCCCTTTWTGAGAGCTTTCTTAAATTTATCCGTTTGGTTCATGAGATATTTTGCTAACAGGTAAGAACATCAAATCCACATTCRGTTTTCAGCCACAGGTGAGACAATGATGAAACTGTGAAGCTGCAGGCCGTGTTTCCTCCTGCCGGGCGATGAAGAGCGTCAAATAATTACATTTGCAGAKTTTAACCGAGTCACGTTTGTAGTAATAAAAACATTGAAATAAAAAATAAGTGTTTCTTTTTTTAATGTATGGTTTTTGTTTGATATCAAGAAGTGCCTGAGCAAATATCTGAATATTTGACTCAAACATGGAGGCGATGTAATGATTTGTCAGTGACACCACAGCACAAAAACTAGTGTTTGTTTTTAATGTTTTAATAATTATCAGAGATGTGTCGTTTTCTGGGTACTCTTCAGCTTTGTTTAATACGAGCCGACACTAGTGAGCAGTTTTCAGTGTATTTGTTTCCTGTTTGCTCTTTGATGATGTGTTTAAATAAATGAAATGGAAGTTATAAAAGCTAATGTGCAATTGTTTTTACATGATTAGAGGAGAGCCACCTGTCCTGTACATATCAAAATCAAAYGAACAATAAAAGGCTGTTCCTGTTWACACCTTCCTCCCCCTGCTTCGGCTGATTTCTTTCCTCGGATCAGGCGAAGCTTCGATGAAGCACCCGGGACTCTTGTCAGGTCTTCCTCAAACACAAACCCTCCAGTCTGACGGAGGAAATGTGACGAAACATTTGGCGGTTCGGGTGAATTTTCCTGTTAAGTCCAAACCTCTCTCAGAGGGGAAACGGCTGAGCTGCTTCTGTTCTGCAGCAGTGATGGAAAAGTTCAGCTGTTTTAGAAAAGTTCTTCACTTCTCATCTGTAGCCTTGTGTTTTAGCTGAGCGACATGAATACTTTGTGTTGATAAACCCTTTAAAATGTAGTGTATGAGAAACGAGAAATATGAAAAGGGTTTAGGGTCACTGGGAAAAAAAATAATTCTGACTTTAATCTTTAATTCTGAGATCATTCTGAGAAAAAAACTCCAAATTCAAACTTTGGACTTTTTTTCTCTTTTCATAAATTGTGAAATTAAAGACAGAAGAATTCTGAGAAAAAAATATGAATTCTAAGTCAATAATCTGACTAACCTCAGGGGGGGGAAAGTCTGAATTCAGAGTTTTTTCTCAGAATTCTGAATTTAACCTCATCTGGCCCACAGGACCACTTTGGAGGGTTTTATACACAATTGGCACATTCTAATTTACATAAGAGGGAGTGAAAGTGATTCTATAGGTTCTCCTGTTTTAATTGACACCTCTTTTGACCAACTGGGTTGCTCAGTAATGATTCTACAGGCGGTTTTGTTGATGAAGGTCCATAAGACCCACCCCGGACTGCATCATTTGATTGACTGTAGAATCGGCCAATCAGCTCTGAGCTTCACAGCTGTGTAGCCAATCATCTTACCTTTCATTTGATATATGGTTTTGGGGGTGGGAACCAATTGATTCACTTTGTCCCTCTAGTGGTGAAAACAACGGACATAGAAAAAAAGGATTTTAAAGCATTTTTGGACAGTTAGCTGACTTAAACATGGTGTTAAAAAGGAAATGTATTTGTTATGAAGTGGTTTGAGTGCTTCAAGACAAGGACGAGGGAATTTTTGTGGCCAGGAAAAGGACGGATAAATCCACTTCCGGTCGCCATTTTGAATCGTTGTTTTCGTCAGAAATTGAGGACAAATATGCATCAAAAGTAAGTGAAAAACATTTATTCTTTGCTGCTGGTGGTTTTATAAGCTGTGTGGATTGTAATGCTTGGAAATAAGAGGATATATTTGTTTATTGACGTGTTTTGGCTGTTTGTTGGAGATTTGCTGAATGTCTTCCAGCTAGGATTAATTTAGCTGGACATTAATATTTTTTTGTATTTTAGTCATGTTGTGAGTATAGGTGGTAAAATATGATTTGTGGGGGTTTTATCTTTTATATGAGCCTTCAATGAAGTTTATGTGTGGAAGCATTTAGCAATTAGTGTTTAGAAAAAGTGTCCATTTTGGACATATTTGGACATGTTGTTGGATTGTATTATGTCWAAAATATTCATTTTTTATGCCACTGTYACCAGATCTGAACTAGTTGGGAATCTATATTTTAGCCCAATATTTTCCCCTCAATACCTCCTTCCTTTCATATTCTTGTTTAGTATTTCAATCAAGTTTTTAAATAACAATAAAACCAAAGAGAAGATCTGAAAACCTGAAGAATCTGAGCAGACCCTAAATAAAACCTCTTCCACAGTTTCGGAGCAGTAACCCTCTGGGTTTCAGTTTGGATCTGGAACATCTGAAAGAAACTGTTTTCATAGAGATCTGGACTGATGCAGAGATCATATGATGGAGCCAGACCTTTAAAAACTTAAAAAACAATAATAAAGTCTTCAAATCAATTCACAAGTGGACAGGAMRTCCTGTTTKTTWTACTACTTGTTAAAAGTCCTGAGAGGAAAACAAACAAAAAGGTGAAATAATCTGTTTTTGTTTTTTTTTTTTAGGGACAAAATCGTTAAACTGAGCAACTGAACCGATTAAGTACGGTGGCCCTGAAATCCAAAACTATAGAATARCTTTACAAAATAAAATTGTTTCCTGTTTTCTCTCAGTCCTTTAAACATTTTCAGATGTTTTAAAGTGACCGGGGAAGTTTTACTTTATTCCTCTTCTGCAACGTGAACGGCTCGAGTGGTGAGTTMAAACCAACCAGAACAAATAGATGAACTTGTATGGCAGGCCATTTTTACATRAAATCAGCTTCCTCTGATCATCTGTAATTACATTATAGATATCTAAAAATTAGTTTTGACCAGAAACAACTACATTTTCACTATCCTGATTGATAATTTAATATATCTGCATTTACATTCTGACTATAGAACAATTCAAGATATTTTTAATAAAATTGCGATCGATCAAAACAACCTTCAAAACATCTCAAATGACGTCATCGGATTCATCATTTGAAGAGTCACACATCCGTGATTACAGTTCAAGATATCTTAAACGTTTATTATGACGATAATTATGACGAGTCAGAATTACATTTTCAGATATAAGAAATTATTGTGCACAAGCCCCCTGCCGCCACTTAGCTGTCCAAACAGATGCCTGCAGAATTTTGTGTGGCTGCAAAAACTGACAATAATTAATCCACGTTTCTTAAATGATGTTGAGCTGCAGCTAAAAACGGTTAAAAACACAAGAATTCGAGTTGAACTGACCTGAGACTGCAGACCACTGAGGAGTAAATGAAGCTAAGGCTGGTGGCTAAAAATGACTTTAAATTTTAATGCTAAAATGCGTTCATCTGACGCAATCTTTAAAGATTTTCAGATGTTTTTTCTCCGCAGCACAAAGTTTCCTTTGTTCCAACAGAAACAGTCTTAGTTTCTGCAGAATGAGCACCAATAATCAGAGAACAGTTTCTTCTGGCTGCACACACATTAACACAACTGTTTTAACGACACATTTTTCTGCTTTTTAAATTTGTTTTGCCAAAAAACAACCAATCTCTGTCCCATAATCTGCCTTTTAAAAGGTGCTCCTCTTTACATAAGAGTCAGCCGCTTCGTTTTGCAGCCAAAAACCTGCAAAAATAAGACGTGCAAACATCTGAGGAAGACGAGGATGGCTGCCGTCCAGGCCCCGAATTACCACCAATTAAATCCTCTCTGCATTAACAGCAAACATCAGGTTAATGCGTTCAGTGTCGACGCTTTCAGYGCGGCCAAGTGTCCCGAGAACCGAGCCAAGTTTGTAAAACTCAGCGGTAGTGGTGAAAGTTTTATCGCTGAGTGGTAAAAATCCTGAGCAAAAAATAAAAATAAGACTGAACTAGAGGCTCGATGCAAAACGAGTAAAGTAAATATGTGTGGATGAAGCTGGAAAGATGCTGATTAGGTGTAAACTAAATCAGCAGCTGCACCTTTGTTCATCTGGATAGGCAACTGGAGGCCAGCGGGCCACATCTGGCCTGCTGGTGACTTCCGTCTGGCCCACCGATAAGCCACCCCCTAAAAAATGTTTTGTTTTATTATTATTTTGGGAGGTAAACTATTTATTTATATTACTATAATTATTCATTTTGCATTCACCTGAGATAGATAAAAGGGCGATAATGTTTCTGCATTTGTTTCATGTTAGCATGAGATCTGAGAACCTAAACAGCAGATTTTATTAAAGTTCTGACTCAGCAATAATTGTTCATCCACAATGTTTGGAGGCAACTCAGTTCAAGATGGCCGCCAACCACCAACCAATCAATGAAACCACAAAAAAAATAATAAATAAATCACAGACACTGAGCTAAAAAAACAGGTCAAAATAAAGGCCCGCAGGCCTAATCTGGCCCTTGTTAGCATTTCATCTAGCCCCAAAGATAATTTAAATTTGAAATGGTTTTATGATCTTTCTTTTTGTCTCTGGATTTAACTTCAACTCTCAAACCCAGGGGAAAACAAGAGTTTGAACTTTTTTCAGTTTTTGATTTTGGTGAGGAAAGAGC